AGAGAGAGAGAGAGAGAGAGAGAGAGAGGAAGAGGGAGATCATATCACATTAGAAAGAACAGAATAAAAATAAGAGAAATATATCAAATCCCACGTAAAAGTTGAAATCCCACGTAAAAGTTGAACAATTTAACATTTCAACAAAGATTGTGATTTGAAAAATTCCAAAATGCATAATGATGTGACATCCCATGGGAATGATACTCTATTTGGAATTAGATCAAAAGATAGAGGAGATGCTAAGTAGTTCAAATCTAAGGTTTGAAGTGATAAATTATCCTAAAAATAATATGGATATAAAAGTCATGATTCATTTGAATGTTCATGCAGAATTCTGAGTTTTCATTATCGATAGATGTATGAGTCATAAAATTAGAATCAATGCATCACAAATAAGGAATTATTTTTTTTTTCCCTTACCAAACGCTTGAGCTTAAAGGAGTAAAATTGAGTATGTGATGGGTTTGCATCCATATGTGATTTCAAATGCCCTGCACTAGAAAGAAAATATTAATTTGGACCAGATTCTACTAAGGAAGTTTTGTAATAAATACGTACATAGCACATCTCCTAAACAAACAATATCTCCATCATTAGAAGACAAGTTAACATGAACTCCTTAAAAAAATAAAAAAATGAAAAAATAAAAAAATAAAAAAAAGATAAAGGTAAGCCACCATGGCTATTAATTTGAATCTCTAAGAGAGAGTGTATAAAAGTGTAAAAGTATTATCTATTTGGTCTTAGGTTTTCAATTTCTCTTAGAATTATGTGCTTGCCCACTATAAGGACACAGCCAAACTGGTATAGTTCTCTCTATGCCCAACAGTGTATATGTATGTATCTAAGCGACTACATATATCAATATTTTTAGATTTCCTCTGGCCTCCGAACATAAGAGAAACACTTTCTTCTTGGACCTGCTTAGCCTTCTTCAGCTTGCTTTGATCTACTCTAGCCAAAACTTTCAACTGAGAATATGTTTGTATGCCTTTTTATTCAATTTTTTTATTCAAAAAAGTTCTCTGAAGACCATTCCCTAGAATCGTCAAATGCACTGAAGTGCTTCTCTTCCCTCACCAGAGCCAATATAATGACATTGCCATATAGTATCATGAAATGGCACATGGACTCACTCAAGCTTCTTTAATCTTAAGATCATGGAAGAGGTGAGATATTGTATTGAGAGACCAAAGCCTTATAAGGAGGCCCAAATCCTAGCCACGAAGTGGTAAGTTTTAAATATACCTTGTGAAGGGATATGGATTTTTAGTTTGTTCGTAGATGATAGTTTTGATTGACGAGACCCAAAATGGTGTCAACACAAAGAACTTTTGAGGGATGCCCTAGAATCTAAAGCTTTTAAAATTAGCCGGACTAAGACAGAGTATATGGAATGCAAGTTTAGTAATTATAGGAGTAGAGATGAGGAAATAGTTAAGATTGACGGCAAAGAAACACCAAAAAGAGTGCACTTTAGATATCTTGCGTTGATAATCCAAGAAAATGGAGAGATTGGAGAAGATGTCACGCGTAAAATTAGATCTGGGTGGGTGAAGTGCAAATGTACAACCGGAATTTTATGTGATCGCCACATACCAATGAAGCTGAAGGGAAAGTTCTGTAGGCCAGTTGTGAGACCAGCTTTGCTCTATGGGGAGGAATGTTGGGCGGTCAGAAAACAATATACCCATAAAATGAGTGTAGTGTAGATGAGGATGTTGAAATGGATGAGTGGCAAAACAAGAAGGGATATAATTGGATATGAATACATTTGAAAAATTTTGGGTATGGCACCGATAGGCAATAAGATGAGAGAGAGTAGACTTAGGTGGGTTGGCCATGTGTGGTGTAGACCTAGTACATCACCTGTTAGGAGGTGTGAATTACTGCAAGTGGAAGGCTCAAAATGGGTAAGGGGTAGGCCCAAAAGGACATGGTTGAAAGTAGTGAGAAAAGATATGGGGACCTATGGCCTCACTGAGGGAATGACCCTTAATAGAAAAGAATGATGGATCAAGATTCATGTAGTCGACCCCAATTAGTAGGAAAAAGGTTTTGACAATGATGATAGTATGTGCATTCTTTTGAGAACAAAGAGCGGAGTAGGCCGCCGTATAAAGAGGTGTGACACAAGGACTTCCCAGGAGGTCACCCATCCTAGTGCTACTCTTGCCCAAGCACGCTTAACTTCAAAATTCTAATGGGATCCATTGCATTAGTGCTGGTAAGACCGCATTGTCGTAGTATGTGTATTGAGCATGTGGAATTTGGTTTGCAGTTTGAGGTTTTTGGGAGCATTATGACTGGTAAAGCTCAAGGAGAATCGGAACCAAGTTAGCCTCCAAATTTAATGAGTCATATTTCCCAACATCAAGTAGCATATGTGATTGTATTTATAATTTCTAATTGACTAATGCATCTTATTTCCTTTGAGTGACAGAGAGAAAACTATATGGACTTACTACCGCCCACATAAAAAAAGATCACAATCAGGATCCTAAGTGAAACTTGTTGTGCCACACGATGTGAGAGAAACTAGAGTACATACTAGATGATCCATGCTCCAAGAAGGAACATGTTGAAGACAAAGAGGCTGCACAAGCTGATATATGTCAATTGCAATATGAACTTCAGGAAGAGCTCAGCGATTACAATCAAATTGACCTTGAAAACATTTTCAATTAGGATCTAGCAGATGAATGGTCGGTGGAGTAGGACGAACCAGAAGTCAACAGTAGGACCCTCGAAGAGGAGTTTGCAAATGAGCCAGATGACCGAGAAATCGAGGGGACTTAACCAAGATGGCCTGCAGGAGACACAGGTAGAGGTATTTGAGGGGCAAGAATAAGGATTTGGCCCGAGGTAGTGGGCAACAGAGCCAGAGACAAAGCGAAGGCACTTGGCATCAGAGCCTGGGTGGTGTGTGATGTAGCCAGCAACACAGTCAGGGTACTGGGCAGCAGAGCCCAGGTGGTAAGTGAAACATGCCAGGTGGAGAGGAATAGATTCAGGATGCGAGTAAGAATGAGTGATGGACTAGTCTTGATGACTTTGGCTTAAGGACCAATTTGTCTACGGTGCCAGTCTAGCAAAAAGGGATCATTGGGATAGCGACTGCCCCTTTAATCTCACATCTATTTGGTTGTATTGGATGCCCCTGCCTGACAATGAGATACAGGATCCCCATCTATCTTCACAATGCTCCTTTTGTTACTTAAATAGTTCTTATATATGTTTGTATTGGAGTGCTATCACTGGGATGAGTTTATGTTCGAGAGACATAGAGTACAGACCTATGTATTGTATTCCCTACTCTTCAATGCAAAATCAATGGGCCTATTTTGTCAATATATTCTATGTTTTGCATATTTTCTTCTCTTTTTTAATCTGTATTAGTCATAGATTTTTTTCACTTCTGCTGTTGTGACTTATTTGACTTTATTTTTGAGACTTATCATGAATTTATATGAAATTTCATGAGCCCTGATGTGGACTCGAGCAGGACTCAAGCAAGTGCACTCAAACTCACCCAACTTATTTTGCTTGGGTAAGGGCCAAGTCCCAAGCTCGAGCAGGGTAATGGAACACTGCTATGAACTTATGAGAGGATAATACGAAAAATTACAGACATTGGAAGAGGTTAAAACTGCCGTTTGTACTACATCACTTAACAACTGCATATGCATAATTAGAGTCATTAATTTGAGAAAAGCCAAAATTTTATCAAAATTCTCAATCCATATTCAGACTGTTAGAGGCCTCCGAAGGGAATGAATGGCTATCGCAATATGGCATAATAAACTGCAATATGAAAATACGAAACAAACTATAACATACAAAGAGATAGATAGGATGCATGTTGACAAGATTAGGAAGCCAAACCTGTCACAGAGAATTGTAGAACAATAAAGGCACATTGCCAAGCTAAATGAGCGACGACAGGAATTGCACTTTGCATCTGATGCACTTTGACCAAGGAGATTGCATCTGTCCATAGGAATGGAAATCATGCGACGCTCAAAACTTTAGGCAATATTTCTGCAGAACATAGAACTAACAATTCTACAAAAAAGATAATCATACGATAGGTCAAACCTGTGTTAAAACGTTGGTGCTTGGCTCCACCAAGTTGGCCAGGACTGGCCCAACAAATAATATAGGCCTAGGCAGCCATGTTCCTAGGTGGCGCCTCAATGCCCTTGGCTAAGGGCAGAAAGTGGCAAGCGAGAAAAGGTCTTTTTTCCCCCACAAGGGAAAAGGGTTTTGGGGGGTATTATACCCCAAAACCCGTTATGTACCTTCAGGATAGAGAAAACATCAAAATTTTTTTTTTTTTTTTTGAGAGTTTTCTCAAGATTGAAAAATTCAAAGTTTTCAATTCCTTGCAAAATCGAAAATTAATTTATTGGACACTTTTTGGGCTTGGAGTAGTTGCAAAAGAGGAAATTTGATAATCAAAGGTCACATAATTTTTATCAATATTGATTTTATTTTGGAAAGTTTAGTGTATTACAACACTTGAAATAGGGATTGGTGATTTTTGGTGGACATTGGGTTTGATTTCCCTTGTTTTTTTTTCTGTAATTTTTGAAATTGGGTTTTGATTTGCTTTTGTTTCCCTTTTGATTTTTGTTTTTGTGATCTTTTACCAGTTTAACTTGGATTATTTGGCCACGCTCAAGAGTAAGTTTTGGTTTGAGTTTTTTGAAATTTTTCTTTAAGATGAGGAAACCAATCTTAGTAAAAAGTCTCAAACCAAATTGGTTTTTTTATCAACTCTATTAGTTCGTGTAATCCTTAAATAGTTCAAGGATCGAATAGGGCTAATAAAGTGAGTTCTTTCTCTACTTTATTGCCTCTTTTCAATACTCTGGTCATTTCTCTTTAATTTTTGAAATGGGTATATGGCATAGTGACTGTCATTACATAATTGGGTCAAGGAAAACTAGATCTCAATCTCAAAGGAAGAGGTTGAGGAGAATGAAAGAGGAGGATGAAGAAAGAGAAGCTGGCTTAGAGGAGAATAGGGATGAATAGGAATATTTGGAGGAGGGCGATGACTTTGATGATAATGGCATGGCATCATCATCAGATTCAAATGCATCTAATGGTGGTAGGGATGCTGTAGGTAGTGCTGATGAAACTCAATTGCCAATTTGAGTTAATCAGATGTGATGTCATGTTTTGAGTGTAATTGGTTTATCTATTTTGAGTTTTATTGGAAATTTGTTTTTTACTGTTTTATGCATTTTGACTTTCTGTTTTTTGAGGTGTGACTTGTGATTCTTGAGCTGACTCTTGTTGCTAGTGTCTAATGATGATTTCAATGTCAACTATGGACCTATGGCATATTGGCATTTGATAGGTAATGACTATGCAACTTTATATGGATTTTGGGTAACTTTCAACCATATACAGTTTTAGCATTTCAATTTCAAGCAATTTATGATAAATTTGAAATAGCACAACATAATAACACATAGAAAACTTCAATATGTATACATATACATATACATATACATACATACATACATACACACAAACACACATATATAGTTCACCATCAGACTTTTTTAACATGGATCAATCATTATTAGTATCAAGCATCACTCACAAGAATGTCAATATCCTAGAAGATTGTAAAACTAGGAGTAACTTTATCCAAAATGTTGTCGAATGTGTACTCTTAATAGTTATTAATGTATTCCGTTAAACAATAGTTATTAATTTAAATAAAATATAAATATCTACATGTGTTCAGCACGATCATGTACTCCTGTTGCAGCTCAAAATCACTAAACATGAAGAAATATATAGTAATAATGTGGCTCAGGCACTAGTGCAACTCAGTATATATTATCTTATCTGGGCGTGTTGAGAGAGGATTTGGCGTCCATTGTCTTTGTTTGACCAAACCATATATTCAAGACCCCTCACTATATTTGGGCATTTGATTGCCACCCTAACTCCATCTAGAATGGCTTTTGCTTCTACCAAGGTTAAGTCAAAAACCACAGAAGGACCCTAGAACAACATGAGTATGATGCCCAAGGAACCTCTCACAAATACCTGCCTGGTGAGCAACCATCAAAATTAAGTCAACAAACACCACTTGCCGATGTAATCCAGAACATCATCATCTTCAGTCTAATTGACTCAGAGAAAACAACTTGCTTCTAACTAGACATAACGTTGGATATGTGGGGTCTCATAAATTGTTTGGAAGCAGAAGCTCAATACATGATTGATCCACATATGCTTTCTTTCTAGCACCTCACTAGACTTCTACCCTAAAAATGTGATTGTTTCTCTACCTTCCAAATCCCATAATTCCAAGTTAATTTTCTCATTGACACCCTTACCTTCTCTCGACCTTCCAAACCCCATAATTCCAAGTAAAGTTAATTCTTTCACTGGCACCCTTATCTCTCAAAGGTAAGGGTGCCATACATCACCTCAGCAACAAAATAGTCACCATTTGAGTGTTACCCATTGGAATCCAAACAGGTTCATATGCCCAGATGGAAGTATACTACTAGAAATGGAGTGGGAGGTGACATCACTGTTCCTAGTTCTGTAAATGACATATATGAGGATCTCCAGGCATGTAAGCCAGCAAAAACTTGGACACTAGGAAGAGCATAGACTATCCAAATAGTCAAGAAGGTGAGAGTGTCTGCTATTCTGCTTCCAGGACAGAAGGGCACCAATAAAAGGATCTCACTTACATACATCCACCCTGAGTCCTCTCCTAAATCTGGGGCCCCATACAACCCTCCTACCAGTCCTCTAATAGCATGCACTAATAGCAATATCCATTGCTTGAGCAACTCTAAAAAGCTCACAGCACAGTCATATTAGGGGCTCCTCCCCACATCAGATATCTCGCCAAAATTGGAATACAGTCTGCCCCTTTGGCCAAGAACTAGATTCAGTTAGCAAATTCACTTTTAGTACCTGCGTCGCCTTCTACACAGCAGCCAAATTTCAATGGGAAATAGAGGCCTAGCCCCCAACTAACGGCGTATGGCCCATACTAACTCTTAAGGACTTTCCCTGGTCCAATATAATTGACAGAGCAATATGAAGCCCGTTTATAGTACCGTTGCAATCGGTAAAAAAGCATAATCAAAATACAAATGCACAGCCTACACCGTTACATGGAAATTCACCACAAATATTCAAGACTGAGGAACTTCAAGGAGCATTGAATAAGAACAGTAAGTTATAAAAATTGTGTATGAGTAAGAAATCTTTCAAAAACCTCTTGTAAAGAGCATGAAGACCTCTGGAAATAGAACTATGATTTTGATCCATAGCAGCTGATGTCTGCATCAAACAATCAAAGTGCCTCCTAAATAAGATGACAAAATTTTTTATACGCACATTAATATCATCTAAATAAATCATGAATTTATTAACTCTAATGAATATTCAAACCTGAGAGGGAATAGATTTCATCAGCAGACAATCCTCTGCAAGATGCCCAGGTCGTTTACATTTCCAACTATAAGAAGAACAATTGTCTGTGAGTTAAACTGTCCACTAAGGAAATTAGAAATGAAGCAAATTTCGGTAAATATGACATTTAATCATTACTTTAATATAGAGTATAATTGCGCTCATCACTAGCATATTAACCAAATATTAAGAAATATTTTCACAACTTAGTGAAATTTCTTGCCGGAAAACATGGGATTACATGTCCACACTAGATATTGCTCCATTTTGAATATTTCTAGATGAAAAAACACATCTGACATCATAACAGCGAAACCAATGATTCTTAAATAATCAGTCTTATTATATAGCAAAGAAATCTCTAATTACATTACAAACAATACATAACATCATCTATAACCTAACCACAAAGCGACAATGTGTTGTCTTCATACAAATGCACCATACGAATAAGATATTTCAGCTTGATTACCACTCATAAGCACATAGGCTGGACCGTTTTTTCGTCCATCTATTCCTTCCAAAATCCCATATACCCTCTTTGAAGTCTGGCAGCTCCGACGCATCTGTGGGTCTTGTTGAAGTTAAACATCCAATGGACATCTGCAAGAAATCAAGTGAGACATCTTAAGCACAAAACATCAATCTATAAGAGCCATCTGTTCTTTCAGCAACCAATAAGTTAAAACAACATATTCAAATCTCATCTTCAAACAACAATTCCTTATAAATTGCGAATAAACTGTATATAGGAGCATGATGTTGTTTAACAATGCCAACGCTGAAAACAAAGAGCTGAAAAACAACTAGCACACACCTCAGTTCCAACTTTACATTGCAGTTCCAGCAGTTCAGCTTTGCATTCCATGCTGCAGATGTCATTGTCAGTCTGCATGAACAAATGGTTACTAGCCATTCATGAAAACAAGACAGAATGCAAACCAAGAGTGCAAGGAAACAAGTAAGTTCAAGGGAATTTTAAAATGTAAAAGCAGTAATGAATCATTAAAATTATTGAAAAAGCAAAGACCAGTAAGGAAATCCATATGTCATGGTAAACTTCATACCTGATTGCAAATGTATTCTCCATATCTGCCACAAACTACACATGCAGGCTCCCCGGGAACTGGAAATCGTTGTTCTCCTCTTTTCTTTATACTATTACACTTGTCAACTTGAGCTGCTAGACACAAATCATTTACTGCATAAGAAATCTCAGTTACCATCACCAGAATTTTAATTGTTGAAAAGTTCACATCTTACCAGCACACAACATGCAAAGGAATTCTTTTCTACATCGCACGCTGATTGCTGACATCAAACAATGATATAAACAATGGAAGTTGGCCATTGAACATTTTTCAAATGCTCACAGTTACATTTCCAGATGAAGACACAGGATAAGACATTTCTGAACTGACATGCTTTACTCCTAGTTTTTCATCATCAGGGAGAGATTCAAAAGAAGCAGTTCTGAATTCCTCATTCAGACTCCAGAAGAGCTGATTTCTAATGCAAGTCATGGGTCTGTTAACTTTTATAAGATAGTTCAATGTTGAGAGCCATAAGCTTCACATAAAACACACTCCTTCGCTCTTAGTTGGAACTCAGCCGCTCTTAGTTGGAACTCAGAAGCAATACCTCTGATGTGTTGGTCTAAGATGAAATCCAGTGAACCTTTTATATCATTATTTTATTCTGGTTTCTCATTAATTGTTTATTTACTTCTTGTCCTAAATCATATACTCGAGAAAAATAAATAAAACTGGTGAAAGTATGCTACTCAGGTCCCTGAAGATGCAGAAGTTCAACAATTTTTGGAGGGAAAGTTTGAAAATAAGTGGATTAAAGTAGAAGCATCATTCACCCATGACCCCAAATACCATTGTGTGCTGTTCATTTGGTCCTGAAGGAAATCTTGTGATGTCTAGAAAGATAATGATGACTGATGAAGACATAACAGAGGAGGCAAGAAAGCAGTTTTGTCCAAATCATGTACCACAACAGGAAATTCTCAGGCTGCTGTAGTTCCCCAGAAGATGCCTTATGGATGTTTTTATTTCTGTAAGTTCAAAACTATATCAATGAGAGAGCTCAACATATGGAAAGAGCTAAAGAAAAAATCATGCAAATGTCGTAACAAATATGGCATCTCCATTATATGGACCATATTTGCCACTCACAGGTAGGGAAAATGGGATGACATCGCCAAGTTGATACCTACAGAAAAAGTATCAACCCATAAAAATCAAGGACTTTGTGAAACACTTTATAATGGATCTGATTGGTGAAGAGGTCAGGGAGAACATTACAAAGTTTCTTGAAAAATAGCAAGCGCAGACAACCTATTTAGAAATATATAGATGCATATGAAAGGGAAATGTAGAAAAACAATGTCAATATCTGCAGGAAGCATTGACAGGGTGACACAAGGAGCAATTTTCACATCTTATTAGAAATCTGTTAGCATACTGCTGTTAATTCTCTACATATATCCCTTACAAATATAGTTTCAAAAATTTAGTTTCAAAAAGTGCTAGGCGGGTCCAGGCTGCCCAGCGCCTAGACAGGTGCCCAGAACCTGAGCGGCTCAATTGAATCTAAATAAGGATTCTGGCATTCTGCAGTTATGTCAGTATCGGTTATATGTATTGCAATACATAATTCAAATTATACTACATATTATTTAGCAATTAGCACACACTCCATAAGCATAACCATAATCCATAAGTCGGTTACTCCATATCCAATTAAAACTTAAAATTTTCCAACCAACCAAATTATCAAACCAAGTTATCAAATAGTATCACACCAGTACTGCAGTACACCATCATGAGGAAGAAAACAATCTAGTTTGAGTAACTTTGAGTAACCCTTCGATCGTAAAAAATTCACCACAATCTAGTTTTTTGGGGGCTTTCTCTCCCTAAATTTGGCTCAAAAACCTAAAACCCTAATTTTTGGCCCCTAAAAATAAAAAAAAAGACGAAAAATGCCCTCACTTAATGGTTTTTCCACGCCTGGGCGGGTTCTGTACCGCCTAGGTGGCCACCCAGGGATCAACCACTCAGATTGGCCACCTAGGCCTGGGCGATGTTCCCAGGCTTTTTGGACCGCCTAGGCACTGGGCGGTCCACTTTTTGAATCACTACTTACGAATGCCAATCCTGAATCTTTTACCCAAGAAATACGGCACAAAAACCAAAAAGGGACACAAGAATTGCCGTAGGGAGTGCTTGCTGCCATGTTCTGCACAAAACCTGGAAAAATCAGCAAAGATTGCACCTGAATTTTGCCTAAAATCGCTTTCAAGGACTTCTTACACCCCATACAATCTCCTTGGATAGATGGCTACTACATACTATTCCACTTCCTATGTCTCTATTTTGGGTGAGTTTCAAAGTAGGGCCGGCAATGGGCTGCCCAGACTGGCCTGGCCCTGAAAACTTAGGGTCTGAGCTACAAAATGTAGCCCGAGGGCCAGTCCGGACCAAATCTGGACCAGGGTACAATAGGGCCAGTCTGGCCTGACCTCTTTATGTTTTCCTTTTTTTTTTTGAAGGGTAGACCCCGGCCTAGGCATGGCCAGGGTGGGTCCTGGGCCAGCCATCTTCAGCCTGGTTTAGGGCAGGGCGAACTCGAAACGACCCTATACGGACTAGGGCCAGCCAATGCCCCAGTTCAGGCCCATTGCCAGCCCTATCTCAGGGGCTAGTAGTTGCAGATTGTAAGACCTCTTACTCTCTCTACTTGGATCACTCAGACAAGGAGGCGGAAGAAAACTGAGGCCACTTTCTTTCAGTCATACATCTATGGGCCAAATCTGTCCAAAATCTTCCTTTTCGAACATGTGTCACATGAGCCCCATGGCTAGTGGGATCCACATGGTCCTCTTTTGGTCCCCCATATGGCACACAAGCTGCCACATATTGGGCCTACTTGTATCCCACAGAAACCCATTATAGGCCCTCTAAATCTTTACAAAGTGAGATACTATTTTTTTCCAGAAAAGTCAAATTTTTTTTCCAAAAATACCTTGCCCTAAAAAACAAATTTACTAGACAAATTTGAGGTGATTAATTTGAGAAAATAAAACCGATTTTTCTTTTCTCAAAAACCCTTAAAGCCATAAGATAAAGAGCAGGAAATTTGTCCTTGCAATGGAACAAGATCCTCAACTAGACATTCCATAAGCAGCCCTATGACCACACCCAAGGTGTCAAAGGAGTCCTCTCTCAGGCACATACATGCTTATGGATAAGCCAAACCCAAAAATCTCAAGGATCACACAAACAGGAAGCTACCAGTAGCACCACATGCTCTGTAGAATTCCATATTGAGGCTTTCGGGCACTTGTCCCTGCAAGGCAACAACTTAAAAACACGAGTGTCTAGGTTTCCTCCTGACAAACAGACAAAAGTGTCTTGGTTTCGTCTTATCCGGCTTCTCAGGAGAGACCTTGGTTCCTCCTGAATCAGCATCCACCACAGTGCTATGCCAACCTCAACATGGCACACAAAGCGCTATGTGGCTGATTGCATCATAGGGAATAATCCTATTCAGTCTCAGGTGCAGATCCACTCGATCTAGCCAAAGCCTAGTCACATGCTAAGGGGAGAGTGACAGAGCCCACTATGTCCTAGATAGAGTCAACTCCAACGAGCTCTAAAGGCCTCTCTCATTCAAGTAGAACTCTACTCTAATGGACTCTTTCACCCATGTAGAGTACACTCATATGGCCTCTTTCATCCATAGACTCTTTGCACATGGTCCCTTTCATCCATGGAGCCCAGTCTTTCATTCATGGAGGCCAGTACTGATGGTCACTCTGATGGTTTCTTTCAGCGTGCCATGACTCGCCCGAGTCCCCTCAGACACAGAGTAACTCGGCCTTGCCTTATAGGCAAGGCCAAGTTTCCCCGAGTTGGGTGTACAACTCGGGGATAAAATTTTTTTTACCAAAAATCTAAAAACAAATTAAAATTGTTGGATTGTTTTATAATCTTTTTGTATATGATTGGATGTATTTGGCAAAGATTGGTGAATATATTTTGCCGTAATCACAACTTTTATATTCCCCCTTTTGTTTGAAATTTTAAAAAATGTCCCAAACTGCAAATCGGTTTTTTTTTTAAATCCATTTCTTCAGTACATTGTTAAGCTTATTTTGAATTTTCAATGTTTTTTTACATTTCTATTTACTTTTACTACAAGATTTTATTTTTTAATATCTTTTCTATCTTTTTTATTCTTTTGGGCCAAAAGGCCCTATGCAGGACGTAGTTGAGTAACTCGCCTCGGCCAGGGGACAAGTCCCCTGGCCAAGGCAAGTCCTGGCACACTAGTTTCTTTGACCCAAGTTCAGCCCAATATAATAGTCTCTACTCTGGAAGTACAGAAACATAGGTTCTCAAATGCAGGAATAAGATTTTCTTTCCTATAAGATTCAACGCTTCAGGACAACTAAACAGAAAGGATCCAAAGGATAAACAACAACTCTTCATCCACTAGGTCTGCCCAAAAAACGCTATTGCGATTCCATTATTCAAAAGTAGCACCCAACTTCGCCAGGGACTTCCTATCTAAAAGAATCAAACAAGATGGAGTAAATGGAACTAATAGAACCAGGTCAATACCAGCCATATCCAGAGCCAATGCCCGGACGAACTACTTGATAAAACTACAGGACTCATTACACACTTGAAAGGGGAGTACCAATTCTCCTAAGGGGAATGGCACCAAGGGCTAGTTGCCCTTGGCCTTGGCATCCTGAAGGATAAACTCTTTTCTCAAAAGGAAAAATCTGATGACTTTGGTAAAGGCCGTCAGAGCTCTATTCTTCCATGTGAACCTAAAAAATACAACAATACCATCAATGCCCTAACTTGCAGATTTGGAGACAAGACTACTCCAGTATGAGGGCGTAAATCTAGATGATACCATCAACAGAACTGCCAAAATTTATGTTTGTGAAGCAGTTTAAATCATTGATTAAAAACTCAGACTTGAGCATGGAATGGAAAAGGGCCCAAGCCCAAGTCTGCCGGTTTGACTCTGCCAAGACTCAACAAGAACCATCTGTTAAAAAATAATATCTCAACCTCAGGAAAGGCGAGACTTGGCTAGGTTCCTTAGAGTTTTCAACAGGTCCCAGCACCCTATTGAGACCGAGTAACTCAAGCTAGTCCAAGCCAGGCTTGCCAAGTTTTGAAACACTGGTTTAAGAGATACACATGGCTCGTAATTAGTAAACAGTTACAAAACTACACATGCAACTAAGGAAATATGATAAATACATTAAGAAGGAAAAAAGATAAGAGAACAATGAAGAAAATTCTACCACAATTTACCACCGCAATAGAACCATAAAGCAAATTCTAGCTCAATTGTCACCAAAATGAATCAGCTTTCTCGCCCGCAACAACTGTCAATCGATAAAGATAGTAAAGAACAAATGATCTCATCATTCACATACCTTCATCTTTTATGTGACATTCATTCTCATAATGGAGAGCGCCCTGCAAATGGACAAGAAGGAATCTAGGATTAACATTTGAACACATGGCTATGTATTTTGTAAAACTGAAATATCTAACAACTTAGAACAAAAAAATGCACAAATCTACAAAATAATTTAACAAAAACAAATGAGGAATAGAGATGGTTTATACACTAGTAAGTAAATCTTGGTATATCTGGGATGAACCAACTTCTTTCCTGCATATGATAAAAAATGCAAGATAGCGTCAGATCCTCCAAAGAAGCATCACATCCACATCTAGAGGCTAGAAGTAATATTCTCCTTAGAAAAGCATGGTGCATATTCTAGAGTATTATTATGGATATCTTCATTCAAGGATATAGCTCAGAATACTTCAATGACCATAAGATGGACATAGAATTAAAAGAAGAATAAAGCTGTAACCATCAGATATCACAGAAAATCAATGTAGTTTGAACATGAAGGGCTCAGTCCAAAACACTATAAATAAAGATTAAAAACATGGAAACATTTAAAGGCTTTTGGTTCTACATGTTTAGACTAAGCTTTCTAGTAACAGAACTTAGAAGATGTATCCTCGACATCAATAAAAAAATATGTTCATCTTGCCATGTGTAAATCAAAAAGCTATTATAGTGAGGTATGTCAAAGTGAAAGTTTGTAAAAACGTTAGGTAGCAAAAATGCATCCTAAGGAGGATGCTCTCAAAATGCAAAGGTCTAGTCTGGTGGATCCTTCTTTGGCCATGGACTCTGTGCAAGAAATTCTCTATCCACGATTACCCTAAGGTAACTTGTAAGCAATGGAAAAAGTGATATATCTCGTCAAAAATATGTTCTGATCTCCAAAGGCAAAAGCATGAATTGTTGGCCCAGCTTATAACATTTTTTATCCTCCTTCAATCAAAGGGTTAACACCAAATTTCTGTCGAATACTTTGAGGCTGAAATCAAAGCCAGGGCTTCTGCATATATTGCGTCCTCTACTCTTATAGGGCCTGGATATGTTGATATAGTTTGCCCCAATTGATTCCTGTATATGCCCCCAGTGCCTGCCATGTGTGGATATCCGAAGAACTACCACTAAAAAATTGAGTTTAATATCTCCTATATCAGGTGGAATCCAATGCAAAGAGCATGTTATCATATGTGGGATTGAGCAAATAATTTCCCTCAATGTTGGTTAAGCACTATCAAAGAGTAGGAGGTGAATTCTTTGCAGTTTTGTGCCCAGAAAGATAATAGATGCTTTGGTGCAGCCTATCAAAAAGTAAATCTATTTCTCTCCAACCAAATGGCCCAAATGCACGCCAATATTGAGGATCTCCAAAGCAGAAGGCTGGCGGTTGGAAAGGGGGGAAAGAAATGAGAAGAAAATAACTGAGTGGTTGATGCATGCATGAACCAGGGCCAATCAGATAGGTTAAGGGTGAAGGACCAGATTCAGGAGGCTGTTTTACAATGAATAAAAAGTGGTTGATGGTCACCTCCTCAGCGTTGCACATGACGCATAGATTTGGTACTCAGATTCCTATCCTCTGAATATGTTCCAGAGTTAGTGCATCGTTGAAATCACTAAACAATTGAAGGTCTGCATCTAAAGTGGACCACGGTCAAACAGGCCTTGGAGGCTGTGACAGGGCCCGGGGCAGGGGGATCGTAAATGTAATAACATGCCCCTAGTTGCCAAGCATATCTTAGTTAGAATTATCAGTTTCATCTAAAACATAATTGGAAAAGATACAAAAACAGAAGGTCGAAATTGATGAGATCCATTAATACAAACACAGCCCAGTTCTCTCAAATCTCAACATCTCATACCATTTAGTTTTTCTGAGCCAAATTGTTTCAGGATGCTGGCCAATCACCAAAGCCCACAAGACATGGCCGATCAACCATAAAATAGCTCATGTGAGTCACCTAACTTACCGAATCGAGTGCCCAAGCAATTTGCTTAGAATTCTGAAGATATCAGCAATAGTCTAGGATAGTTTGATGACCTTGTCGAAGTTTACGCATCGCATACCACTGAGTCAACTCAAGGAAATCAAGAATTATCATCTTCATTTTTGATAATCCAAAATTTAATAGAAGTGCAAAATTTCATTATCTGTGGACTATGGGATAATACAGACTGCATATGAGGTTGGAAAGAATATGAACTAAACCAGCTGTCTGCACTTACCCAGCTTCCCAGTTATACAACTCAAATTCCTCGTTAATTTGTTCAGGATTGCCGTTGCTTAAAATGGGTCGTCTTACTGTCCTACACAAGGTTATCTCAACGTGTCTATAATCACCCTCTGATTTCTCGTAACCTATAATTAACTGAGGAAACTCACAGATGCTATCCTTACTACCCATTTTATCATCTGGTAACACTCTAATAAGGTCCAAGATCTCTCTTTTGTGACCAAAAGAACCAATTACTTTAGCATTGAGCCTTAGAAATGTCATGGGAAAAGTTGTGGGTATTGGGAGTTGTAGCAATAAATGGCTTCAAAGAACCACAAAACAAAACCAAAGACATGCACAACCACTACTACGATGATTAGAGGCATTTTTGAAGACAACTAACTACAGACTATGAATATAATAAAACTGTCCAAATTGCATCTTAAAAACACCTCAAAGCTATCGAATGGTTCAATTTAAAAACTGGTACTTGCCTTCGCTTTTCTATGAAAGCCTGGTGGGTGAATGCCTCAGTATCTTCTTCTTTTTCAATCGCTTTCTCCTGCTTTCTCTTTTTTTTAGGGCAATTAGCGCCCTTCACCTCAATACTGTCATCATCACTAGCACTGGTAGCAAAGACATTCCCAGTTGCAACGTTGTATGCTAAAATCCCAGAAATTTTAAGGTGTAATATTGGATGATATGATCAGAAATTCAAAGTGGGTATTCACATTCTTACAAAAAAAAAAAAGTGGGTTTTCACATTTGTACAGATTCAGGGGAAACAAAGAAGGATACTGCAACTAGTGATTCCCAGAAATTCAATAGAAAAGGAAAGTAAGGGGAGGGTGATTTTGTTGAAGGGTTGCTCTTACCTCTGAGGTTTTGGATCACGGATGAGAGAGATAATTCCTTATTGTATGAGAAGGAAGGGTTCTTGTAAAAGTTGGACCTTGTCCCCATTTCTCTCTTCAACTGCGATTCTCTCTCAGACAATTATGTGAATGAGACTTACCCTCCCTATGACGTTTCGTTTCTCTCTCTCTTTCTGTGAAACCCTATAATTGTAGTAAGCCTTTCGCCCTTCGGGCCTGCAATCCTCACTTCTAACTCCTCGTTGGAAAGCTTTTCCGTCGTGCAACTTTATATCTCTCTCATGCGAAGGCTATCGGGACCAAATGTCGTCCTTACTTCAAAGAACAACAGTATCAAGGAATTAGTGGGAAAGAATTTAGCACGATTGATGCGCGTAAACAACCCTATCATTCCTCCATCTCTCATACCTCAATCCAAATTATAATTCAAGCCTGTTTAAAAAGCGGATCGGTGCCCCGGAACGGGCACACAAGAACCCATTCGGATCCATAAATTGACGTTTCGGATATAAAATCAGCACAATCAATTGGATTCGGCTTTAAAAATTTTTAAAATTTATTATATTGTCTTTTTTAGAAATTCAATAAGAAATAAAAGTAATACATTAGTAACTTTTATTTTTTTACATCAATATGTGAATATTGAGATATTTATGAAGATTATCATCAAAGATTTATTAAAATTTATCTAAATACAATACCAAAAATGACCTTGTGAGACCCTCCCACACCCATGTGTGTAGGACACCGAAGGATCACTATTAAATTTGGTATAGATCGCTAAAAAAGTCAACTCCCACACCATGTGATAACTTTTCTAGAGATCTGTGCCAAATTTAATGGTGATCCTTTGAAGTCCTACATACATGGGTATAGGAAGGTCTCATAAAATCATTACTCATACAATATTATACATTGAAATTAGAATTATTGGTTTGTATTTTATTATTTTATCATCATTTTACTATACAACTAAGAATAACTTTGAAAATTGTCTTATAATATCACCTAATTTAAAAAATTAATTTACAACTATAACAAAAACTAATATATTGCACAATTTATAATGTAAATAAATTAATAAATAAAATAAAATATTTAATAATTATTATAATTAGTATAATTATTAATTACAATATTATAATAAACATGATTCAAAAAACAAAGGTATGACCATCACAAATAAATAAATCTAATGTATAATAATTAGTTTTAATAAAAATATAAAATTTAGTAAAATAAATTTGCAATCATATTATATAAAATTAGAAAAAATAAATAAATAAATTCATATTTTGCAATATGGGATAATTGATAAAGCAACTTGAAATAAATTCTAATGTGGTATGAGCTATTGTTATTTCTCTCTCTTAAAGTATCCTATAAATTAATATTTTTTTAATGTTCAATAAACCAGTATTAGTATTATTTTTTGCTTTTTCTAATACCCTATGAGCTAGTACTAATTTTTTTAAGAAAAAATCTTATTGACAACTATAAGAAAAAATAAAAAAATTTACTAAGAAACTCAAAATCCTTTTTATTTATTTTTTATTTTTATAATTTTGATAGATTGTAAAACGAAACACAATATTTTAGATCCATTTTTATTGTTCAAAAAGAAAATATTTTAGATCCAAAAGTACTCCATAAGTATGCTTTTTCACCAAAGGGATTGAATGTACATTGTGATCCTGCAGAACTATAGTACATGCACTCTTTGTTATGTCCCTACAACCATACCACTTGTGTTCTTGAGTTATGCGCAGTGCTCCTATTTATCATTGCTAAGAAGCAAAGCAATTCCACATTGAAGAATTAGGACTTGAGCAAGTACATATAAAAGCCATTGAGACACCATCGAAAGCACATGCATGAGGTGGGGGTTCGTGCACTTTTAAATTACACGGTTGTTGTTGAGCTAGCGGGTGGGTTGTTGTTGAGCTGCTTTTAAATTTCACGGTTTTTGTTGAGCTAGCGGGTGGGTTGTTGCTGAGCTAGCGGGTGGGTTGATGTCATGGAACGATCCGTGATTTCAAGCAGTAGAGAACTTTTACATCGATCATCTCGACTTGAACTTTATGGTTGTAAAAAGAAAAAAAAAAAAGATTATATACAATAAGACCATTGACATTTGGTATAGGGAGATCACAATTACTTATAACCATTCAACGATCATCTCGACTTGAACGTTATGGTTGTAAAAAACAAAAGAAAAGGAGTGTACACATTAAGACCATTGACCTTTGGTGTAGGGAGATCACTTACTTATAACTATCCAATGACTAAGATTAATTAAGACCATTGACCTTTGGTGTAGGGAGATCACAATTACTTATAACTATCCAATGACCAACAATAAAAAAAATTTTGAACTTTGAGCGTGATCAATGACATAAATGCAACAACCTAATTTCACATCCAATGACCAAGATTAATCGTGACCACATTGTACCAAAAGTAAATTGTCTCATTATATACTTTCCCAAAAACAAATTAGGAATCAAGCTCTAAAAATAAGTGTATATTGTAACAAATTATCTAGACCGTCCATTTCACCCTAAAAATAAGCATTCACATATCCGCAAGATTTGTACCATTTTTTTAGTTTCAAAATTTATTGTTGGTATTGAAAATTGATTTTAAAACTATTATGGAGATTTCTTTTGTTGACAGTGCTGTCCGGACGAGAATTTGAGGGGTGGCTCGATTTTGTTTTTATTAAGCCTAGGTCTTATAGAAACCTCATCCAATTCTAAAATGTATTTAGTTGTGTAGCATCTTCACACCAATTGGCTGCCTAATGAAGTGAAAAAATGTTACGCGATCAAAGAAAACAATAATTTGAAGCTTATATGTGTGAAAAAACTTTCACACCTTTTTCGCCCCACCCCATCTTTCTCCTATGCTTTGCCTTTCCATCTCCTTCTACCCCCTACCACCTTCATTCAATGAGGTCTTCTTCATTGTTGATCTCCTATCCTCTTTGATTCTCTTCTCCCTAACGTAGGTTAATTCTTAAGACAGAAATATCCTCTTTTTGAGGCTTGGTATCCTATCATCGGGGTCTTTCAGACCTCAGGGTTCTACATCAAGGACTTTGAAGACCTATGTATCTGGCTACTTAGGTTAACAGTTAAAATAGGGCCTAGCTTTTATTTGGCAAGTGGGCCGCCCAGTTGCGGTTTTTCCTTGTTCCCTCTAGGGAAAATTAAATTCCAATGTTTGGTCAGATGCATTCATCTTAGGGTTGTTTGAGTGATGATCCCCCACTCTCAATTGCTTTTTGTCACCTTACCTTGGACATTTGTTTGACTACCTCCCATTTTTCCTCTATTCCTCCTGCTTCTCTTTGGGCCAATCTTTTGCTCCTATTTTTAGTCACCGGTTATGAGCCATTGGCATCCCATCAACGTTGCAACATTTGTCAAGCTATTCAGTTAGAGTTGTTATTTTGGAGCTAGTTGTGCACCGACTAAAACTTGGCTCAAGAGATCATTGTTGAAAGGATAGGTGTTAATGGGGTATATAATAGATAAGTTTGGGTGGGTAGTAGATAGAGGTTTGTGGTGGTTGTCTTTGATAGTCTTTTGGTGTGGTTTAGTTGGGCCTTTAAGCAGTTTGTTTGTGGTGTCGGATCAATTAAGGTTAAAATTACGATGTATTTCACAGTTGAGATGGTACACCCCAGGAAGTAGAGAATATTGTTTGTATTCTTCTATTTCTTCTTTTGTAATTTTTTCTATAACTTCGGAGCTCTATTCCTTTATCCAATGAAAGTTTTAGTTAATAACAATTAAAAAAAATCAAATAAAATTCATAAATAGTTTCTCTCCAGTTATGCATTGAAATTGTCCTACTTTCTCTCTCTAGAGCTCTAAAACAGCAAATCTGTATTGTTTTTGTCTCCTACAGGTCTGATGCTCGTTTGAGAAAGTATTTGGGGTTGACAAGGATCGTTCCTACCGTTCATAATTAGCGTCTAGGGTTTTTAGTGTATAATCCATGGAAGAAGAACAAATTTTATGTGATCTAAGATGGAGTTTCCAAGGCATTCTTGTGAGTAACTCTCCCTCGAAGAGAAACCCCCAATCCAGAATCCCCACCTCATCAGAGGAAGAGAGAGTTTTGGAGGAAAACAAGGTTTGGTTTCATTGGGTGCTTGAGTATTGGAAAATTGTTTCATGCAGGCTGGACCGCATTTCCACATATGCAATCCAGAAGTATAAAGCATCCATCTTAAAGATGGATGTAAATATGTGGTCCAGCTAAAAACAATTGAAATTAACTATTCAAAGGTCTTCTTAATAGAATTATTATTTCTAGTTTTTAAAATTTATTTATTTTTTCATATTCATGATATCCATGTTAGATATTACATATCCCTAAAAATTAAATCCAAAATCCATCTCAAAAATAAATTTATTAAGGGGCCCCTATTTCTACATATGCGGCCTTGGCCTGCATGCTAATCGCGTCCTTGAGTATTAAGGAGGAGGTCACAGTCACTCTTGTCCATCAGATTTTAAATCGGGTGATTGTAAGTGTGTCATTGACTCAAAAAAGAATTTCCTGATTTTTTTTACACATGCAAAGCCATCCAATTCGACATTTAATAGCTAGTAGTACTTCTAACTTCCTTATAACAAAGAGAAATGGTCTTATAGTATACAATCCCAAACCCTAATGTACCTAAAGTTTTGATGGTTGTTTCAAAAACTCATCTTCCATTATAGATTCAGACTGTTTCAAATAAATAAAACAGACATGCGTACACACACACACATTCCTTTCCCATTATACGCATGAACCAATATAAATTTTTGGAGCACATTAGTATTTTTGCTAACACGAAGCCCACTCTTTGAATAAATATGTTTTCATGTAGCTTCCTTGAGAACCCCTAGAATACGGAATTAGGAACCTCAATTAGCCACTTTCTCTTTGAAACCCATCTCCTTGAAAATAAAATAGGTAGCACTTAAAAAATAAGAATTGTTTCTTTCGTGACCCATTTTTATAGAGATCACGCTTATCAACCTCATCTTTTCCATCGCTGCCCCACTAGCAGAAAAGAACCTTGTGAGCCATTAGGCTTTCTCTTTCTAAAAGTCAGAATTTAACCAACCTAAAATCCTATGGGAATACCATCTCTTTTTAAGATGTCATTTATCTCTCTTGGAGACCCTTCTCTTCCCTGGATATCTTCTCACAAGATCTTAAAAGTATGACCGTTGAAAGGATAAATATTATGTCTTTCTTGACCTCCTTTTATAGAAATAATAAGAAAACTTATTTTTCATTTTAACCAAAGACATAAGAATGATTCTTTTGAGGAAAAAACATAAAAATGGTGATTTTGGCTATCACCAAAGATAAGATTCTCAATTGTTTCATTTCAAAGAATTTGGATTGTGATGAGTGTGGAATCACTACTTAAATATCTATATAGAGAGATCTTGAATGCTTGGATATCATGAAAGGTATCTCGTAAAGATTAAACAGATTGTTGGTTTGATACCCTAGTCATCTCCCCTGAAGTTGATATAACGTCCATTATCTTTTTTTGAATAAGAATGTAATAAAATGAGGGCAACAAGAAACTAATTCTCGAATTATGTGACAACTGCCGTCACCATTAATGAAGGGGGTGTTTCTTATTTATTAACAACAATAACTTACAAAACCCAAACCAAAAAACACATATGTAAAAAGCAACAACATCAACCTCCTCAAATTTACAAAACCCTAAATGCCAAGTCCTAACCAATCCTAAAGCTCCTCATGCATGTTATCAAGACACTTCATTTCATCCTCCTCGGCCATCCTTGCATCATTATAAACATACCCCCTAGCACAGAAGAAGAACACCCCAAGGTTTAAAAAACTCAATATTCCAAGCAACCAATAGAAGTCATACAACCTCCCCTTATTCAGATCATCTGCAATCCATCCGCCTCCCGAACTGCCATGTGTCGTGAGCTTGTCGACCACGGACACCAGAATGGAGCTGAAGAAGAACCCAAGTGAAAGTGTGCTTAGGAACATGCCTGTGCTCATGCTCTTCATTCCTTGGGGGCACTCCTTCAAGAAAAAGTCCAATTGACCCACGTAAGTAAGGGCTTCACCTACACCCACCAATACAAACTGTGGAACTAGCCAAAAAACACTCAAGGGGACCACAGAAGAGCTAGGGTGTGCGGCATGAACACGCTTTATCTCGGTGAGCGCTGCCGCAACCATGGCAAGGACGGAGAGGATGAGGCCACATGCTATGCGTTGTAGGGGGGAGAAACCCTGCGGGTGTCCCGTGATACGGCGGGATAGGGGGCGAATCACTCGATCATACAAGGGCACTATAAGGAGGATTGAGACAACAAAGAAGAGGGTGAGCGATGCAGAGGGTATGGAAAAGCCCCCGACGATGTGCCTTCTCATGGTCATTGCTTGCTGCACAGAGAAGGTAGTCATTTGGGCATAGACGGTCCAGAACATTATGGTGGTGGCCCAAATGGGAAGCATTTTTATTACCATCTTCACTTCTTCTACATCCATTAGCGAACATTGCTTCCACGGGTTCGTCGGCCTTTCAGGGAGGCCCAAGTTGGGCTCTAGTATGGCTGCCTTGTCGAGGAAACTGAGTGGAAGACATGGTATTATCAGTAATTGTTTAAGATATAATGGCAAAGATAATGACAATGAGTTAGCAGAAAAACATAAGAAATCAGGGATAAACTAATTGTGGGACATGAATTGAGTAAAAAAGAGGGAAATGGGTTCAAAGCTAGGTAGTCAAGTAGTCAGGATGGTGGTGCTATGGCATCTTGAGTTCCACTCCTATTGTGGATAGGGAATCCATCGTTGCATAACTACTTTTAAAAAGAGAACAAAAGAAAAAGAAAAAAAAAAAGAGTAAACTTATAAAGGCCACCCTGATAGTTGAATACAAGAAGTCCATCAACAATCTTGAATGGTAAAATTAATGAGGCAAAAGAAAACATGGTTTGGAGCATCACTGTTATATTCATGTGGTAAATTTGGGTGAAATGCTAGTGGTTCCATATCGTTCACAAATTGTTATCACGTTGATGTTGGAAATGTGGCCTATCAGGCCCTTTTCTCTGAGGAATTTATTTTTCAAAAATGGTACAAAAGCCATATTGTAATATATGTGAAATCTTATGTTGTTAATATGAGGCAATGCTATATACTTAGATCCATTTTTTAGCTTTAATAGGATGTTGCATTGGAGGGAAAACCAGTGGCGTATTTGGATTCTTTGTAAAAATTGTTTTTCTATATTATAGATATATAAAACTTATTTAAGTTCTAAATATCCTTTATCAAATTGTAGGAATACTTAGATGATATCCTATTATGTGAGTCATTAGTGGACTAATGACGGGTTTAGCTCATTACATAGGATTAACAATTTGGTGCTAACATGTTAATCCTAATTAGCTGCACTTAAGGGAATTAAGACAGGAGTTATAATTGGATATCAACTCCTATGGACCATGAATGCGAGAATTACAAACCAAAATAAGATCTCTAAAAGAAGAGGTTAACCCCTCATGAGTAAAGAGATAGAGAATGATGGAAAAGGGGTGAAAGAGATTCACCAAAACGGACTCTCAAGGTAGCCTGTCATAGGATAGCATGGTCTATAGGTTTTGGTATAGAATCTCAAGTTCCTCGTATGATTTAAGGACAGGTCCGAGTAAGTTGTTTATCGATTTTAATTATTTATTTATTGATGTTTATTATTATGACTAACAATTGACTCATATTTGAAAAGACACAGTATAAATGAAAGCAGTTAGGTTACATGTCCGGTTACCAACAAAGGATGCTTCTATGCATTTCTTGAATTATTTTAGTGCAAATAGATTTGTAGTTTTACCCCAAATGGAAGGCAAAACATTAAATGTGGTGCCCAACACACGTAAATATATGCCATCCCCATTCCTAGGTATTCGATTTGAATGGACGGTTAGGAAAACTTTGGGTATAAAGTCATCAATTAGTTTCTAAGTCTAATCATAATTGAGTGGCCTATAATATTTTATTTTTATCTTGTAAATCATTTTGTATTGAAATTTCGTGTGTGTTAACATCTCATCGAGGCACATCAAATACAACAAGAATAAATAATTTTTATGAAAATAATGATTAGAATATACTAGAGCATGCATGTTTATTTTGGTCAATTTCTAAGTAGAAATATTTTTTTAGTTTTGATGAGTGCTCCACATTAAGGTGAGGCCACACCCTAAATTTTGTGCAAAATTGACATTTGGAGAAAAAAAAAAGAAAGAGAAAAGAGAAAAAGGGAAAAAAAGACCATTTATAAACGAGATATTGTTACTAAAACTATTTTGGTCATCCATTCAATCAGACAGCTAGCACTAGGGGCCACATATATTTTATATGTGGGTGGCCTCATATATAAAGTCTTGCCATAATATAACTCCTTGCTTTCTAGGTTAGGTTTAACTCGTAATCTATAAATAAAACTCTACTCTTCTAGTTACACACACACACATAAACAAACGCGCGTGCAAAGACACTTAAAAATATACGTGAACACGTTTCTACAGTGCTTTTATTATGGCTCATTATAGTCCAAAATCCAACAAATGATAATGTTTATCTGATAATATTACAGATTTACTATTTTTTCTATGAAATGCATTAAACCTCAAATTTGGAGGGTGCATACGCCTCAGTAATATTCATCTAAAAAAAATAAAAAACAATTCAAATAACGAAAATGAAGACGTTTTCTCTATGAATATCTTAGGGTGTTTTAGTAATGTTATTATATATTATTATATTTTTATGATTTTTCTTGGTATATGATAATTTGGTTCACACAGACACCAAATTTGAGATAAATCAGATTTGTAGAAAAAAAGAAAAAGGAAAAAAAAGAGAGACGATTTCAACACTATTCGATGACCATTGTCCGATGGAATTTAGATTGTGTTGAAATATGGGTGATCAGAAAAGGTCCCTAAAACGAATCAAGTCTCGTCCAATTCAATGTTATACACCAAAGATAAATATTTGTGGTATTAAAAGGGGGTAAAATATCTTTAGAGCTATAATTATCTGATAAAAATAGTAAGGAACATTTTTCTTCTGGTTAAAATATTTTTAAAGTTCCAGGTGTCACAACATTCAAGAGAGAGTCTTGAGGTTCTTTTTAGATATATTGTAAGTTCTAATATTTGTACTTTCATCCAAAGCGACTTTAAGAAAATATCCCAAGGGTTTCTTTGTAAAAAAATAAAAGGTTAGAGTTTTATCTGATATTCCCTAAAACGATAGCCTTTTTCATCTTTTAGGAAGGCAGTGGATAATTAAGGCATGAGATAAATTTCCCAAAACCTATGAAAGATAGACCTAACAATTAGGGCTGAGAAGTTACCCAGTCTAGATCCGAATCCCGAAATCCGGTTTCTATGCTACCAAGCCCACATATGTATAAATGTGGCCCCCTTAATAAATCTATTTTTGAGATAGATTTCAGGACTTAATTTAGATGCTTTACACTTTCTGGATTGCATATGTAGAAATGCAATCCACCCCGCATGAAACAATTTTCCTTATATATATATATATATATATATATGGAAAAAGTTCATGTACACCCATGTGTGTGCTGCTACAGTAAATGCCCAACGGCCGATATCGAATCTGTACCGATCTGATGGTCACGGTTGTCCGAGAGTATTTGAATTTTAATTTGTTTTCTACAAATCGGAATGATTTGAAATTTAGAGTGTATGTACATCTTAGTGAAGCACACCTAATAAAAATCTTTAAAAAATAATTTGTGAAAAAAATATTGACCAAAATACCCCTGAAACTTATATATATATTAATTTAATATTTATTACCTTATATATAATATCTATAATTATTTTAACTTGTATAATTATATTTTAACTTTAGAAGATACAAAATTGGAATTGATCTAGATCCAAATCCGATGTATACTTTTCCGATCTGAATCCATATATGGGTGGATCCATACCCGATCTGAAGAATTCTCAGCCCTAGTGACAATGGTGTAAATGAACCCCGTCCAACCTTAAAAGGGCTAAAGAGGCTATGGCCTAGGCTCAGCCTCGGCCTTGTCTTGGCTAGGCTAGGTTGGGCCAACACTAATACGCTCAAAGAATACATAAGGAAAAACTAAAGAAAAACAGGGCTAGCCCGAGCCGAGGCTGAGTTGGACATGTGGCCTTGGCCCTAGCCTAGCCTAGCTCTCGAGCCACGATGGCTAGGCCCCGGCCGTACTCAAGCCACATTTTGTGACTCATGTCTTTAGTTCTTTAGGGTAGGGCCATGCCATCAATCCATTGTCAGCCTTAGCTATTTTGACTACCCTCGTGTTTTGTAATAAGCATAAGAAAGTACATATAGAGTATGGAACCTAGACCTGGGCTGGACAGGATCCAAGCAACCCCACCCTATCCAGGCAAGTGGCCAAAAAGTGTTCCAAAAAATATGAAAAATATATTTAAAAAATTAAATAAAATAAATCCAAATGAGATTAAAAGGTAATGACAAAGATTTTGAAAAATCAATTTGTGACCAAGGGGATTTTAAAAATAATCCAAAAAGATGGAAAAAATATAAAAATAAGTATTCATGACCAAGACATTTAAGTCTTTGCCAAAATGATAGAAAATATAAAAAATATAAAAAAACCAAGTTTTTATTTTATTGGTTTTTATATTGTTTTGAAATTTTTTTAAGACCCCGAGCTTAATCACTAAACTTGGGATGTAATTGAGCTAACCAGACTAACCAGCAGGGTAGACTCAAAGACCGGCGCAATTAAAGGAAACCCGGCCATGTGGTAGAAAAACACTTGAGTAGGAGTCGACCCATAGCTGTTAGACCCCCTAAACCAGCTAAAAACCGACTCGCCCAGTGGATGAGTCTGGGTAACCTGTGCCGGGTCCGGGTCAACCAGGCTGGTTTTTTCCATAGTATTTGGAATCCATCTAAAGGTTTTGTACTTACAACCAATAACAATGTAGACAATCTTCAATAATGCAAGGTTTAAACTTCGGAAGTTAACTCTACACTTTTGGGTGGTCAGCTTGATAGAGCGTGCTGGGAATTTCATTGGAGTACAAATTTGCTTGGAGTCCGGAATCATTGAGGGGTATTTTGGTCAGTTGAAATGTGCCAAAGAGGATGGGTGATAAATTCTTTTATTAAAAAGCATCGGTCCCAACTAACGGCATTATTGAGAGAATATTAAATGCCGACAGATTCATGCTACCGAGGGAGCATCGGTCCATTTACTCCCTTGGTTAAAACTAGCAATTTAGGATCCTAAATTTTAGGAAAGTAATATTCTTAACCCATAGACTAACCGCAAAAAAGAAAATTTTCATATTGAACTCCCTGTGCACTTGAGGAAATAATATCTCAAGATTGGAACCACCAACGTTTTCTTAGTTTTAGAAAACTTAAAATTCAAATTTTATCTTTTGGAGCACATTTGATTTTTTTGGAAAATATTTTCACATGAAAAAATTATCTTATATTGTTAAGTGTGGGAATATTTTTACATCAATTAGTTGCTAATTGTTGTGAAACTATGTACTAAAAATAATTGGTATGAAAGTATTTCCATACTTAAAACCACATGAGCGGATTTTTTCATGTGATAATATTTTCTAAAACATATTTTCACGCAAACCAAATGTGCCTAGTAATTCTCGGTTAGCTCACAAAAGTTTAGATTAAAAAAATGATGAAGTTTTCATAGGGCCACGTGTTACAAAAACAAAATAAAATCTCACCTCAAATCCTCATCCGGGAAGCACTTTGAGCATCGAAAATCTTCATGATGGCTCTAAAATCAATTTTCAATACCGATAATAAAATTTGAAACTAAAAAAAAGGTATAGTTCTTGCGGATCTGTTAACACTAATTTTTAAGGGGAAATAGATGGTCTAGATGATTTGTTGCAATATACACTATTTTTAGAACTTTAAATCCTAAAGTTTTTTCACAACTATAATGTTCAAGCTTATAAGATTGATTAAAAGGTTTTTCGGCTGCACCCTATCAAACCATTTTCCTTAAAAAATCCACCCAAGTAGGTTTTTACTCGAGGGAGTAGATAAATAGCATGCTCCCTTAAAAGCATGGCATATCGATTCATATTAATATAACATCATATAATTGAGGACAGCAGGAGGCACATCACATGTGACACAGATCAAAGCTTGTTGGGTGTCTTATTTGACGATTTCCCAGCAAGTCATTGGTTGGAAAATGAAAGTGGGCCATTTGAACCGTTGTAGGACCACTGAATATTTGTTCCTGTGAGCCACTTGATACTTTGTAGGACCACTGAATATATGTTCCTGTGAGCCACTTGATACATCGTTTCCTGCAACTGCTGGGGCCAATAATGGTGGAATTGCATGGACAAGCGTCCATTGTTCATCTTTTTCCAGGTGAATAGTGATGTGAATTGGGCAGGTCGTGACTAGATCCGGACTCAATTAAGTCATGGAAGACTTAGACCTAACCCGGTTGGGTACAAGTGTAGACTAGGATAGGAGCCGCTTGAAAGGTCCGGTTGGGTTTAGGTTGAGAATTGTATTTATTAATACAATTATTATTTATATAATTTTATATTTGGGTTTGTCTAGTGTTACAACTCCTCAAAATACAAAAATTAATATTAGAATGAGTTGTGATATGTGTATTTATCGATACACCATTATTTTTTGTTAAAAATATTTTATTATTAACTTAATCATTAAATAAAAGTAAATTTAAATGTTTTATAAAAATACAATGGTATTTTAGAAGTTAGTATTTTGAAACTCTATTTGTAAAATACTCTTATTTTTTTTTAATAAAATACCAACTTTACCTCTTATGAAGATGACAAAAGTACTTATTGTCTTTTTAAAGATATGTACACAAATCCCCTTACTTAGTGAGCAAGAAAAAATAATTTTTTTAAAAAAAAACTATATAATTAGTAAATCCAATATTCATAACTCACTCTAAGATTAATTTGGTAACTTAAAGAATGGTGAATCATACATCATCCTGTTATAGTTCAATGATTTTGTAATACAAATTCATATATATACAGGCATGTTCTTGTATAGCATCGTTAATTAGGTAGATCTCGACATGGACTGGACCCAAGCTAAGAAAGTCCAATGTGGACCCAGGTGGGGTCTAGAATAATAGCGGTGGCAAAGGGCCAGTTGGCCTGGCCCAATCTACCCAAATCATGCCATTAGGCTCTAAAAGACGTGGACCACGGCCGCAAGATATGGCTAAGGGCAAGGACAGGCCAGCCATGGGCTAGGGCCACGACAAGGTTGGCCCTGGTTCAGCCTGGCTCGATTCTGTTTTAAAAAAAAAAAATTTCCTCTTTATTTTTCTTGAATTATACTTAGCCAAGCTGGGCCCATCACAACCCAGCCCTGACAGAGCTGGGACTGGCCCTGTAGAGACTAGGGCTACGCTAGGTTCAAGGCCCAGACTGCCCAGGTTTGGCTAGTTCAAGTGCGTCCAGTAGACCTGGAAATGTACTGACTAAACCCGGATTGATTCCTACGACACACCTACAAGAGAGTGATAGTGAATGAAAAAGGTTAAGAAGGTCTTACCGGAATTGCTTGGTATGGATGAACCTAGGCTTCTTCATCTCTGAGAAATTCTCCTGGCAGAGCGCCATGGGGTCTAGAGGCAGCTCCAGATGCCTGTTCTTCCATGAGGCGAACAACACTCGCGCGATCTGCGTCAAAGGGCTGCTGGCCAGTTTCTTGAACCGGTACCGCCTTGTCCCGCTCAAGTAAACGGCGAGCGCCACCACCATGGCACACACGCAGGTCCCGTACCCCCAGCGCCTCCCGATGTTGTCCTGGATGTACACAAGCACCGTGACCGCCCCCAGCGCTCCCAAGGTTATGAAGAAGAAGAACCACTGGAAGAATCGCATCATCTGGGCCTTCTCATTAGCCACAGACTCGTCGAACTGGTCGGACCCAAACCCAGACACGCTCGACTTGAGCCCCCCTGTTCCGAGGGCCGTCAGGTAGAGGGCCAGAAACAGCATTGAGAGCTGCAGGGTGCTTGCGGGGACGCAGCGCCCACCTTCGTTGCACGGTGGGGGCCTCAGGGCGGGGATCACTGTAGAAATAGTCAGGAGTGTCACACCCTGCATTGCATCCGATACCATGTCTGAGACAAATCATTCCACGAATTACTCCACTGTACCAACAATCAAATAATAAAAAGCTCTTTAACCCGGTGCTGGTACCACCTACGCAGGGTGGCGCGAATTACTCCACTGTACCAACAATCAAATAATAAAAAGCTCTTTAACCCGATGCTGGTACCACCTACGCAGGGTGGCCGGAGGGATGAGCTGAAAACGGTCTTAATTTTTTGTTTTTTATATACAAAATAGCTGCTCTCAAGACTCCAACAAGTGTTCTTGATCCGACCCTCTTACCGTCACACCAAATGATGGCCCAAATCTAATACCAATCAAATATTTTCCTTTTTTTTTCTTTTTCTGATAGGTGAACAGGAGCTCTAAAAAGCACCTCCACTCAATTTTATATCATCTTATGCAATGTTTTTAGACTAGGCCCAGTCCTCAGACTCGGCCTGGTCCGAACCGAGTAACTGGGTCAAGTAGCTCATCGTTCTTCCACTTACAAGAGCTTGAACAGCGGCAAAGATTGCAATGGTGCGGTATCTGCCGAGGAAGGAATCGGCAATGAAACCGCCAAGAAGGCAGAGCATGAAGGAAGTGCCCAGAAAGTTTGTCACCGAGTTCGCGGCGTAGGCGCTTCTGAGGTGCATGGTATTGGTCAGGTAGGTCACAAGGTTCACGGCAATGCCAAGCGTGGTTAGCCTCTCCACAAGCTCCACCCCTGCAACAAACAAGGAACACATCTCAAGTTTGTTTGAAGAAAACTCTCAGATTTTCTCTGAAATATAAAGTTAACAGTTCATAAAAGAACTCACCCAGAATCGACGCCGCACTAAGCCATCCTCCTGTTGTGGATCTTTTAGCAGGGCGCCCTTTGTAATCCCAAGCATCGTTTAGGACATCAGTCTCATCCGCCATGGAAAGTGTCATTCTCTCTCTCTCTCTGAAAATATGGTACCAAGAATCTCTCTCTCTCTTTCTCAATGAAATTGCAAAGGCTTGCTCTGTCCCAACACACAGAACAGAAGTATGCCTCTCTTATTTCTTTGATTTAATCGCAGAGGAAGCGCTGTATTTCTCTCTCTAAAAAATATGGAGTTCTCTCTCTGGGTTCAGGGCCCAATACAAGTAATCTCTCCACTTTGAACTCCAAAAAGTATGTGGAATCTCTCTCCCTTTTCGTGGCAAATATGTGATCTCTCTCTCTCCTCTGAGGTGAAGATGCAGTGGCGAGAACTGGTTATCGAAGCGGATAGGGCGGGTGATTTATATATAACGACTACGAGTCTCTTCACACACTCTCCATTTTAAATAATAATAATAATAATAATAATAATAATACTTTCCATTTTTCTATGTACGTGAATATTAAACAAACCTCACTGTGGTCCCTTTGCCAGGAGTTCAACTAAATGGTCCTTCCTTCTTCAAGAAATTTCATTTTGCAACCCTATTCTCTTCGTAACATCCTCATAAACTTATCCTCTCTCTGTTTTTGGGGTCTACCTTCAAATATTTTCGAGAAATGTGATTTTAATATTAAAAATTTTTGTGAATGCCTTAAAATATATTTTTATGTTTATTTTATAAAGTTTAAAGCTTTAAAAATAGTGCAGATCGATGGACGTATCAAAACTTGAAACTCTTGAAAATTGATATTCAAAAAGTGCATTACAAAATATACTATTTCTAAAACTTGAAATCTCATGCATCTTGATGTTGAGATATCAATTTGAAGATATTTAGGCATTAAAACAACTTTTTCTAGTGAAATTTTTGAGGTAGGCTCAAATTTGATTGTTTAGAGCCTCAGCACTATATAAACTTTTCTTTTTGTAATTTTATAGCAATCAATTTTTTTTGGGTAATTTGTGGAGAAGACAAGGCCCCTACCAGTTTTTGCAAATAGTTTATGAGTTACTTTTTTTTTTTAAAGGCGTTTGTGGGTTGATATAAGTGGAAATGGAAACCATAACATGGTTACTAGGGTGTGGGGTTGCAACAATAACCCTAGCCCCTTCCCCATTTTATAGTTGTATTTTAAAAGTAGCCTGTTTGAATTGGAATAGTATTCCAAAACATGACTTGGCCATGAGATTCTGCCCGAGTTACTCAGGTACGGCCAAGTCCGGCCAAAGCAAAACGTATTGACAAAACTAAGAAATACAAAAAATCTCTTTCTTTATGATTGTTTCTTGCCTTTTTTTAAAAAAAATAAATAAAAAATCTCAAAAAATACGAAAATATGTTAAAGTAAAATTAAACAAAGCACATATAAATGAGATTAAAAAAATATTGAAAAATAGAATTTGAACAAATCAATTTGGAACGGGGGTATTTTAGAAATAATCCAAGAAGAAGAAAAAATGTAATCACGGCCCAAATACTTTTCATTCTTCGCGAAAATGATAGAAATGTAAAAAAATAATAATTAGAAATAATTTTTTTATTTTTTATTATTGTTTTGAATAATTTTTAGATCCCTGATTCGGATCTAACCAAATAAGAGATATTGTCCAAGTTATTCGGGCGAGTCAAAGTAGCCTCACCCGAGTTTTCCTTCACTAAATTAGAATAACCTGGTTCAATTCCAATAATTTGGTTCGGAGTCAGTGGGTGGGCATTTAGAAGAACTTTAAAATCGATAGATCCAACCATTTTCTTTTTTAAAATTTAAATTCTCATTTTCTTACGTATGACTAATCCAACTCTTGATTCCCGAGTCAATGGTTACTAGGTATCTCTTCCTAAAGACTAAAAGGTGGACATTATCCCATATGGGCATATAAGGTATTAATTTATGTACGAAGGGTTCTTTGCGGGATGTGAGGCAGAAGAAAAGGTCTTCTATGGCATTACCAAACTTTTATTGGTAAAATTTGATACATGAAGTTAGCCCTGGTACACGTGTTCATCAATTATTGGTGTTTTTATGCATTTCAACTCACGTGGACTTTGAGGGCCCTTATCCGCCGTCCAATTTATGTGGCCCCTCAACATTCTGTGACGAATGACACGTAGGTTCACTAACTTGGAAGACCTTGGAAGACCAAATTACGCACTGTGGGTAAAAATTGCCCAAGGGATTGAGTATTTTATTAATAATTAATTATTTAATCTTATAATTGAGCTGGTAGCATTCAATTGTTTTCCATAATTGAGCAATTATTTGTGGTGATATGAACTTGAGACATGGATGATTTTGACATTCTTATTTTCACCCAAGCGGAGGAGATAAACATTCATAGAAAATTACCTTTTTTTTTTTTTAGGGGTGTCAACTAGTTAGGTCGGGTTCAGGTTAACTCCGCCCTGAACTTGACCTAATTAGGTCTAATTTGGACCTGACCCGAACTTGACCCAGTTCTAAAAGTAGAAAGATAAAAGATTTATTTTACATATTTATATAGCAACTAGTATTTGACTTGTACATATTTTATACTTTTATATGCTGATTTAGGTCAAAACCTACCCGAGTTGATAGATTCCAAGCCTGACCTAGACTGTGACAAGAACCCAACATGGGTTTGTACCTGAACCCGACACGCTGGGTTTGACCCAACTTGATTGCCACCCCTAAATTTGTTGTTCTTTATTGTTTTAAATTTTCAATATAGGTAACTACTAAATATGTACGTGGAAAGGTGTTTATGCTTTCCCTACAACATAAATGCTATATACTTCCCCTTTCATCCAGCCGTTCAATTTAGATCAAGTGACCTACTAATCATTTAATCTAGATCTGATGCCTCAAAGTATTTTACTTTTAATTTTTTTTCTACTAACTATATGACTATGAAATTTGGTATGTACGATTACTCAATGGGGCGCACCTAAATAAAATATTAAAAATTATTTTTGATAAAATACAATGACCAAAATACCTTTAAAACTTTCAGAGGTATTTGAGTCATTTTATTTTATAAAAAATATTTGTTTTATATCTTTTATAGGTGCGAGTTCAAAAGAGGATTATACGTACAAATTTTGATATCAAAATGTCTTGTATAAAAAAATAAAAATAAAATAGTATAGAGGGTGACATTATGATTGGGGCCATCTAAGCCATACATTTAGAATAGACGATTGGATAGGAGGAAGTATAAAAGTTTTATGCTGCAGGGGAAGCATAGAAAGCTTGTCCATATGTACAACATGAATATATAATGCATATATAGAAACGTCCTATTCAGGAAAAGGGGCTGGGGTCGTGGTTGTAGCACCCCTATACCTTAATCCTCATGTTGTGGTTTTCATTCCCATTGATACCACCCTACTAGCACCTTTAAAAGACTAACTCCTAACCTATTTGAAAAAATAGGTAGGGGCATGTCTTCCCTATTGAATTACCCCGCCCCCGAAAAAAAAAAAAAAAAAAAAACCTTATTTGCTTGTACAACATTTGAATTTTATAAATGAAAGCCCATTATAGGCTTTGGCTCTATGGTGGGCCAGTTTGGGTGCGGGAGGTTAAGTGTAAGAGCACTTAACCTTTGTCAAGAAAGATCCCAAACAAGGCAACCTTCCATGTTTTCTAACTATTATTTTTATTTTTATTTTTATTTTGAAAGAGGCGTGATTATTCAAGAATAGTTGAGATGGAAAATTCATCACAAAAAAGCGTAAAGCAATTTCTCTTAAGACTGGCCTCTAGGCCTAAGCAAGGGGCCATTTCATGACGTCCAAAATTCATTTCTACAAAGGCACCAGATTAATGTTACTAGGACAAATTTTTCATAACGTAAAACATTTCTGAACAATTACATTAAGACAAAATTCTCATTAGGAAAAACATTTTTATTTTCATTTGTAAAAAAAAAAAACATTTTTATTTTCCCAAGGGAAACAATTACTCAATGTAACTGCTTCGAAAATGAGTACTGATTATTTATACGAGTACTCGATCCCTTGTGAATACTTGAGATGGATTGCTCCTTGAGGCAAACAATACGAGGATAAGCATCTAAACAACGAAACATATGGAATACTACACGAATCACTATTATATATCTGGGTAATAATTTCGAATATTTACCAACTTTCAAGGTTTTATGCTCTTTGGATATGAGGTTGCATTGTAAAAAATTTGGCCTATAGTTTGGTACACATCTATACAGGCGAATAAGATGTGGTTTTAATGATGGAAAAACTTTCCAAGTGATCCTTTCTACATATATAGTATACATGTCCCCTAATCTCAGCCTTCACATATGAGTAGATGATCGAGATGGCTTGATTCACAATGTCACAACCTGGTTCTTGAGCGTCAGATCTTGATCTGATGAATCAAGAGTGTTTTCTTTTTAATCTTTATTCTATAAATAATTTTGCATACATCTAATAGGGGTGCACATGATAAACATAATGAAAAAATAATTTAATGTGATGGAAAATTACCACAATACCTTGAAACTTTTTGAGGTATTTTGGTAATTTATTTTCATTATATATATATATATATATATATATATATATATATATATTATTTTACT